TTATACACATCTAGATGTGTATAAGAGACAGTGTATCAGGGATTAGGTTCTATGAATCTGGTCTCTTTTTTTTTTTTTTTTTTTTTTTTTTGTTGAAACAGGTTCCTTTCATTATTAACTCAAAGAAAGAGGGGCAGGCCTAACCTGGGCTCTTTGTTTTGGGTCACAGAAAGCAGATGCCAACACTCAGTTAAGTGGAGAATGCAGGTGAGTAGGACTCTGACAGAGGTCTCGAACTGTGAGATGATTCCTCAGCATTCAAAGCATCAAGGTGTGTTTTTTTCAGTCTAACTGCCAAATTCCTCTGTTTATACAGATTGAAGAATGGAGCGGCGTGGAAACGACTTTTGGCTCCAGTAATTACGTTCTCCGTTTGCTGAGGCTGCTATGTTCTCTTGTATCATGCATGCTGTGGATGTTTTCGGCTTTGGGGCGGCGATGGAAGTTTGAGTGCTTTTTGGTGAACTTCATGGACTTACGACGAATTTGGTCTTAAGTTAATAAGCCTGGAAAGCCTGAAAGATATCATGAATGAATCTCATCTCCACCTACTCCCCACTTTCTACGGTTCCGTGAGAGAATCATCTACAGGTGGTTGAACATACATATTGACGAGGCAAAGACTTTCTCAGAAGGTCTTAGGTTCTCAAGAGCGCACATGTTGTAATGGCTCGTCAGTATGATGATACCTCCACAACATTGTGGTCTTCAGAAGAGTATGGCGACTCCGAAAGTCTGTCGCAGCAGAAGAAATCTTTTGAAGTGGAAAGGAATGGAGAAAAGGGGAAGACCCCAAGGAAGGTTGAGCAAGGCGAGGGTAGTCGCGGAGGGATCCGCTCCGACCCATCTGCGTCAGCAGGACCGCACGTGGTATCGAAAGGCGGTGGGATGATGCTGGTTCAGGACGTAGACTCGGATTCAAACTCAGAGGCAGCGGAGGTTCAGATCACAAGGGTGAGAGCCAGGAAAGAAGGTTTAGCCAGCGGAAAGCGTGACAAGGAGAGGGCATTCGACCGCCAGAAAGATGTGAACGAACTGCTGAGACGAACTACTGAGCAGACCGGACTTGCCGCGGATAGAATCCAAACCATTGAGAGAAGCGAAGTTCCAGGTGCTGACAGCGACGATCGCGGCACTACCACTGTCTACAGCAGCAATTTCGAGGGAAGCGAAGTCAGCAATGAAAATGATGACGACGATGAGGATGGCGATGAAAATGGTGAGGGCATCGAGGAAGCAATTGAAGACAGCGACGGCTCAAAGACCGATCAGGAGAGCGAGTTTGACAGTGCAAGTGGAACCAGCAAGGGTTGGTCATCTGCCGGGAGCAGAGCGACGAGCGTGGAAGGTAAAAATCAGGGAACGGGAGACCATTCACATCGTGCAGAAGAGGAGGAGGGGGGGATGACATCGGTGAGGCGTTCAGGTGTTGAGCAAACCTCCAAGTCCTACAATCCTGGGGGTTCTTGGAGCAGTAAGAGGGGTGCCGGCCAAGAGGGTATGTGGGACGATGGGAGCGAAAATGAAGGGCCGGAGGAGTCATTGGAAACAAGACGAGGGGCGACTCAAATGGTCCCTAATGCTAGCAAAAGGAAGAGGAACAGAGATTTCAGACATCTTAAGGATGATACCTTTCAAAAGTTTTGGAATGGGGGTGGACATGTGGAGGGTTTGATCTCTGTGGGCAAAGGGAAGGCTTACAAACAAGTTAAGGGATGGATGAAGTATTGGCAGTATCACCACGCGCGAGTTCTTACCCTCAAGGGTTTTCGGAAAGGGGGACAAGTGGACAAGGATGGTCACATCACTCCAACGCCAAATACGCCAATGCCTTATCGTGAGTAATTTGCCCGGCTCAACCCCATCGCATGGGTGAGTGCACTGAGTGGTACCCCCAAATGCCTATCGATAAACAGATACAAATCCTGCCAGGGGCAGTAATGTTAGGGTCATTTTCCCTTTGATTCCTGGAAAAAGTTGACAGGCAAAAAAAAGGTACTTTGTCAGACCCTACCACTGTAATCATCCTGAAGTGTTTTCGTAACCCACTGTTTTTTCTGCAAGGTTGGTGTATTACCAATTTACCAGACATGTATGGAGCCCTGCAGCATTCTTTCACTCTGCTATGGACACTGTGCTAGGCAGCATTATGCTTGTTCGGTCCCACTGTATGGACACTGTGCTAGGCAGCATTATGCTTGTCCGGTCAACATCACTCTGATGTTTCATTTATCAGCATCAAATGATTACACTCTCTTACTGGAGAAACACCTAATGGTCTTCTCTCGCTCTCCTGGAGGCAGCAGCCAATGTGACCCCAAACCCTAATTTCAGTTTTGGGCCCGTTAGTCAGTGGGCTGAAAATGGGGGTTCCCCGTTAACCACTTGTGCCCAATCTGCACATCACAATCATCCATCCTTGTCGTCCTTGTACCTGATACATCTGGTTTCCTAACTTGAATCTTGCAGCTTGCCGTCATGGCAATTGTCCTCACATTCTGTTCCACGCCTCCCTGCCAAATAACACCGATTGGTCCGATTCCGGTACCCTGACCACAAACTACGGCACTGAGTGCTCAAGGAAGGTCCCTGCCTGTAATTGCTGTATCAGTGTTGATTGCATGGTTACCATGAGCTGCGATAACTATCACCTGAGATTCAAACCTGAACTTTCCAAACCTACCTTCTTCACCCGGAAATAGCGCCCGGACGTTGTATACAAAACTAAAAACATACCTCCTGGCGGGTGTTATATTCGTTTATAACGCCCGGGCGTTGTTGTGTTCAGTGGATTGGCAGCGACTTCGGTGAGGGCCACCCCCTCACTCCCCCACCCCCCGAAAAACAAAAAATTCAAAGAATTCTGTTAAACACAGGGCTGGGCCGGCAACCGGCCGGTTCAGCTGCCCCGGTCCACCCGGATCCGGACCAGCCCAAGGTGTCTGAACCGGAAAACCGGTTTTCAAAAAAAAAATCCCAATTTTTTTCCTTTTTTTTTTTTTTTTGTCAGCGGACTCCGACTGCGCTCTTCGAGATTTGTCCAAATCTGCCATAAAACTTGGAAGGCACATTTTTTGGGGGGAGGCTTTCCCAAAGGGGGGGCGGGGGGTGGCGGGGGGGCGAGGGGATATTATGGGATGGGTCATGGGAGGTTGGCCTTTTAGGTCAACAAGGGGAAAAGTAAACTGCTTTGCTTGTCTGAACCCCCATGGCATTTAAAATTTAAATTCAGCCCCATATTGCATCACGGCCTGTGCCCTCAGACGTTGGCATGCAAGAGGCCTGATTACATATGCTGTTGGAACATAATGGGTTCAGGTTTCAGCTCGTGCAGGCAAAGAGCTTCCCGTTTTTTTTTGTCCATATGCAGTGGTTCATCATTCCGAAAGTATCTTGCCTGGTGAGCTGTCCAGATACATGTAGTGGAGCGAGGTCCATTCTTGCACCTCGGACCGCTACTCTGATTTCACGAGCAGAAACCTAAACCCATAACTTTTCCCCAGAACGCAGGGACGTCTGAGAAGCATATAAAGTTATAAACACAGCAAAGCCTCTGCTGAAGCATGATGTTTCCATCCTCCTGTCTCTCAGTGGACGAGGATTAACTCCTGTCTATTACAGTAAGGCCGTGGTCTATCAGACCGCACAATGCCAATGTCAAATGGTCGCATTACCACTTCTTGAAAATGTGGCCGATTTTGACCTTTGATGCGCATATCAGAGGCTAAAAATCGGCTCCGTGTTCAAATTGATAAACCGGGGCTTGTTGGTCCCCGCGTCTTGAAGTAAACATGTGGAAGTGGGGTCCAAAAGGGCCTGTTTTTTTTTTTTTTTTAAGGAGGCAGCAGCCTCCCGGGGACTCGGCAATTGCAGGGGCGCCCGTGGATCCCCCATACCACCCCCCCAGCGTGATACGCTGGGTTTGACCGGGGGCCTGCCGGGTCGGTCGACCGTCCGGTCCGACCGGCAGTCTCCCAGTCGGGGGAGGGGCCCCCGGTCCAACCGGGAACCAGCCCTGGTTAAACTTAAACAAATATATTGTCTACAATTGCAACGCAACCAACATTTGGCTGAGGATCGCTTCAGAATTCCTTATAAATCCGTGTCAACGGAAGAAAGTCAAGATTCAAAATGCAGGAGAACCCAGAGAAGCAGCAAGAGATCTTGGTCAAATTCAGGAGGGTATGGCTGGTTAAAGGCAGTACGGCGACATTCATGCACTCCATCCACCTCAGATGGAAGGGCTGTCACAACTCTAGCCCACCCCAGGGATTAAGGGGCATTCACCGTTCAGAGTCACAAGACTTCAGAGCAACAGAATCCAGACACAAGACTTAGGATACTTTACATACTACCTGTCCAAGGAGCACGAGGGTCACTGCTTTCCCATCTCTGTCCGTTTTTCTAGTATCAAAGCTTAGCTGACAGGTTCTCTAGTGACGAACCGGAGAAGAATAACAGGGAAAGCCAAGCTGACAGGTCAATCATCCATGAAGTGGAGTAATCAATGCTGTTCAGGGACCCTTCGGCCGGACGGAAGGATGCATGAGTACGGAAGGATGCATGAGTACTGTATTTTTTAACTTGTCGGGGGGTTGAAGCTGAGGAGGATGAATTACAGGTTTAGTTACGTGTTGCATTTGGGGGCCGGGTCCCATGGGGTCCTGTTAAAAGCATGACACTGGGTAAAGCTCCCACATCCGGTCTTTATGTGGGGTGGCCGGGTAGTGGGAAAAAAAAGGTCTGGGGAAAGGGAAAAAAAGTAAAAAAAAACTGTTGAAAAAAAAAAAAGAATTGGCACAAGAACTAGGCTACCAGAGTGGCCCGGGTTCACTTGCCCGGCTGGGCCAAAAAAGTAGGAAAATTTTAAAATAAAAAGATTATTTTTAAATGTTATTTTTTATTCTAAATTTGGTGAAGAATTTCGATGCGATGCTGAGGCAAAAGTTGTTCGGTTTATTTTTCTCGATAACATAGTTTTTTTTTCGGATTTTTTGGAATTTTGTTTTTTCTTTTTTTGTTTGCTGGGACCTTCCCTGTCCTTGCACGGGCTGGCCACCCGGGACCCGGGCGGCCCGGCTGGTAGCCTAGCACAAGAATGCATTCAAATGCTGAAAAAAAAAAAAAGGAAACGAACTGACGCTCCCCAGAATGGCTATGGATGCAGGACCATAAGGACCTGGTTCAAAAAAAAAAAAAAAAGAAAAAAAAAAAGAAGAAGAAACGATCAAAGCAAAACTTCAAAAGTTCAAACCCCCTTCCAACCCCCTTTAAACCCCATGTATATCCCCCCCCCCCCCCCCTAAAGGCATTCTGCCCATGCCACATTCAAATCAAACCCCATGTATATCCCTCCCTCCCCCTGACTGTCTGGCACTATACTCGTGCTAAGAGAGCATGAACCTTGCCGCCTCCGTAGCCATGTTCATGCTACCTTAGGACAAACAGAGCAGCAATGGGCACAAACAGAGCACCAGTGAGGCTTATCCATCCGCACAGAATAACATGTATATGGCCTTGCGCTTGGACCCTATTCACAGCACACGGCGGATAACGACATTAAGAATTTAAGAGTGATATTAATAACAATGTGATTTCGCGTAGCCTCCTCACTGTATGTCACCGTGTAGTGATGGCATCTAAAACGACGGTTATCGTTAGCTGAAGACCAGACATTCACTGGTGCCAATGCCCTGCTTAGACCACCAGTCAAGGTTATCACAGTCAAGGTTGTGAACCTTGAAAATGAGATAGCATTCAGACTCTTTTCAGAGAAATTTCAGAGAAATTCAGAGTCTTTTCCGACACATCTTTCAAGCATATTCAGGCACACAGCATGCCGTCAGTCTTCCTCGTTATGAATACAAGACAATGAAAACCTACCGTCTTCACCCGAATAGAACGCCCGGTAATTATAGCTGCATCTGGACTGAAAAGTGCACCAAATACGGCTACTATGACCGGGCGTTCTATTCGGCTGAAGACGGTAGCCCATGTGGATGAAATGGTGACACATGTAACTGTGGACAAACAGATCACGAGTTCGAATCCTGTAAGAGTCAACGGCAAGACTGCAGCTAACATTTGAATATCTCTAGAATTCGCGATGATCCAACGTTTTGTTTATTATGTGACAGGAGGGCAGTGCTTGGTGCCCACCTCAGGGTATCAGTTGTCGGGCAGTCGTTGATGCTTAACCACAATCGGCATTAAGGTGGATTATCACTTACACAGTCTTACAGTGTAATCAGTTAGAGGATTCTGCAGACTGTTGAGGGTTCAGCCTCCTGACGAGTCGGCCACACTCCGACGAAACAGTTTGTCACAGCCCCTCGTTTGCTGTCCTCTTCTCCCTCTCTGCCTACGGCTTACCTTGCAGCTCTGTTTGGTGAATATATATGGTTGCGTGTGCAGTTAATACGAATAAAGCAAATAATTCAATTACAATTGATCGTAGCATCATGTTATCGGTTTGAAAATTTTAAACTGCCTGCATATTGATAGTATTTGATACCTTTCTCGGCCTTTTGGCTAAAAATAGATACGTGTAGTATCTGTTCTAATCATGAGTTTAATATCTGATCCGTGGTCCATCGGACCACACTAAAAAAAAACAAAATTCATTCCTCCGTGGGAGAACTGCTCTCTGGTTTTGTCTCTTTGCGTTCTAAACACTTGCTTGGTTTCACTGTGCAGGAATTTGCGTGCTGTGGATGACTGGCCTTGAACTTCCTCCTGCTGCTCACTTGGTGAGTTCAGACTTTTGGTCTTAAACCACCAGTACATGTGCACCTGGGCCGCGGGTCTGACACCTCAAATTCTGGAGGCGCGAAACGAAAACGCGGCCACCGATTGAATTCATCAACGGTGGGCCCAGCGTTTGACATTCCAGCCTCGTGTTTTTGTGGCGACAAGTTTCGGACTGCAAGGCTGGGGCCGTGTACTGGTAGTTTAAACCACCAGTACATCTGGAGTATCATAAATTGATCCTCTCTGAGAAGTTCGGGAACTCAGGATAGGGGTCGCCTGGGGGCGGGCAATTTTTTTTTTTTTTTTTTTCAGTGCTGCGCATGGTCCCACCCCAAGGCACGGGACGGTGTTTTTTTTTTTGGTTTTTCCATCTGCCTTCTTTGGAGGCCCTGTCCCGAGCCCCCGAAATTTTAGGAGAGGCTCAATCGTGTTTATCAACTTGGCTGGGGCTACTATGTACTAGTGGTCTAAGACTTCTACGTACTTGAGTTTGCCTTCTGCCCTACGAGTGTTGACATGGGGGCAACTGTCTGGGTGTTTGGTAATGTTTGAGTCATCTCTCCCTCTGTTTTTTTTTTTTTTTTTTGGTTTTCATTTGTTGATTCTGCTCATTGCTCTGGGTGTTTCATTTAGATGCTGAGTCTAAAGGTTGACTTTGGAGTTTGAACGCTGACTCCAAGCGTCGACCAAGTTGAGTGGGTGTCTTCACAGGTGTTGATCTTGACTTCGCTGAGTTCCCACCATCTGAAGGATGAGCTGAGTCTGAAGATTGTCTTTGGATTTTGAGTGTTGACACCACGTCTTGACAAAGCTGACAGGGTGTTCTGTCTCAGTGTGCAGTTCTTTTTTTTTTCCTCTTAAACCACCACTGCCTTTCACAGGCAAACGCAAAGTCCATCTAGTAGCCTACTCCTGAAAACACGGGGCTCGGGGCAGGGTTGGAGGCCGACGAAAAAAAAAGAAAAAGAAGAAGAAAAAAAAAAAGAAAGAAAACGAAGAGTCCCCACTCCAGGAATGTCGGGAAAGGCCCTCACGAGGGTGGAAGTTATACCAGTGCTTGGACGAATGTATCTGGCCACTATGTCGGAAAAGGGATTGCAGGTCGTTTTTCTTTTTCTTTTTGTTTTGAAATCCTTGTAGTGCCCTGCCAGCCAGGCAGGGCGTGTTTCACGGGTGGCACGTAACTGTCTCACTGCTGTAGCATCATGTATCTGCCCTCAATCACAGGAAAAGGGATTCCTTCTTTTTTTTTTTGTTGCTTCTCTGTTTTTTCCCGTACACGCCCTCACTGAGGGCACAGTCACACAAGCACCTCATAGAATGTATCTGGTGGTTATCAAGGCGTTCGGGAAGTCTCTTTTTTTTCTTTTTCTTTTTCTTTTTTTTCCCCTTGTTCTTTCTTCGATGAAACTGCCCCGGCTCGGCCAAACTCGGTGCGCCGTGAAAATCAGGGTCGGCAAAAACAAGTTCGGAGGTAGTGGTGGTTTAAGAAAAAAAGTTTAAAAAACCTAAGTTATACTCTTCTCAAATTCTGGGAATGCTTCTGGGAGAGCCCTGGTGCGCTAGCGCCGCTTCGGTAAGCGCTATCTCGAAGCGCTTTCGCGGGCACCCGTGGCGCGGTGAATCCTCCACGCGCCATTGCACGCTCAGGTGCCGCGGTGAACTTTTCACGCGGGAAAATTCGTGACGCGCGCAGCCCATCATCACGGATCGAGCTCGCTAGTAACAAGGAAAGACTCTACAGGAGAGCAAGCCAACTCAACACACCGCCACGCCCGCGGGCGTGGCAACTCCCACCCAAGTGAGCAAGCGGACAAAAAGCGCGCAAGAGGGAGGGCGAGGGTATTGGAAAGAGGAGACGGCCGGCGCAACTGTAGAGGAGAGCAAAAGAGGAGTGGGGAAACCTAAGAATAGGAAAAGACAACAGAGACAAAAGGGGAGGAGAAGAGCTCGCATTCAGGGACGGAAGATAGGGAGGAGGGGAGAGAAGGAGAAGACCCTATTTTCAGGTAGAAACAAAGGGGGTGGTCGCTACCCGGCGAAGGCAAGCCCCATCATGTGAATAGTGGGGTAAAGGAAAGGACAAGGGCAAGGAAGGATGAGAAGCGACACAAGTTCGAACAGGCGGTGGTCTGACCCCGGAATCTTTCGCAAAGAGAACTAAGAAGGACAAGAGAGGCAAGGGCACGAGAGGCTCAAAGTGGTAAAAGGAGAGGGGGACAGAGTCAGGAAGGGAGGAGAGGACAAAAAGCAAGGAGAGGCAGGGAGGGCGGAAGGGCCAAGACAAACAAGAAACCGATACCCGCAGGGGAGAAGGGAGCGCATCATCCAAGCCCAATCATTATCCCTACACGGACGGAAGGGAGAACACACGACCTCATTCAGGAAATACGGGTAAGTTTTCACTGAACAGTTCAATCGAGTGCTTTGAGATCGAAAGAGACAAGGACTCACGYGACAGGTCAASAAGGGGTCCGAAGATTGTTCAAGGAAAGAGCCTACCATCCAAGCAGCCATCGGCTTCCAACGAAGGCAAAGAGACAAAYGAAAGGGCAGCGACAAGCAAACATTAACACTTGTCRGATTAACGCGACTTCCTTCCAATATTTATTTGTGATTATTATTTTTATTATTACATATTCTTTTTACTTTTCTTTCCAATTCATTATTCGTCTCACTATTGTCACTCAAATGCTTTTTAGTTGTGTTCATTAATTTTATTATTACATATTCTTTTTASGATTCAYTSCAATTCATTTTTCRACTCACTATTGTTATTTAAATTCTTCTTAGCAGCGCGTGCGCGCACTCACACCGGGAATCGATAACACTATTTCGAAGTGCTTTCGCGAGCACACGAGCCAATTTTGCCAGTACGTTTTCCTTTACTACTTATTCAGCTCATTATTGGAGCCAAACTTCGGGCGGCATCGCACTCCTCGGCAAATACTATAAATTCGCCAACTTTGCAACTTTTAACCGACTTCCCCGCAGTTAATTAATAAATCAGTCATTGTTTCAAACCTTTTTCGTGTACTCACTGATTGCACTTGCTCAACAACTAAACACCGGGGTTCAAACAGAACGGACACGACGCTAAATATACGCTTGATCCATCAGAGGAGCAATCAGCGACACCTTCCCAAGCWCCCATCCCACTCCCACAYGTGCACGAGACAKAACAAATCGCCCTCTCCGGCATCACTATCCACCCCGATCCAGTCCTTTGCACGAGAAGACAGCATTTGTCCTCTCATCAACTACTGACGTATTCCGGGCCCCGCTCAAAATAACCCAATCCCTCTTTCAACCAGACTTACCCCACCCCCACCCTACACRAGAAGGATTACACCCCCCACCTGTTCTCCACYTCCCACGTCGGTCCCGATCGACCACTTTCCTAGTCCCAATCCTAAGTCCCACACTTCAGTACCGATTCACGCTGCACACCCTTCCCAATCCAATACAGCTTCCAACACTCCCAGACCRCATCCCACTGTCACCCTGGCATGAGAACARCCATTCCGCCCKCCACGACCTTATAAGTCGTGACTATACTAACCCTCTCCGTACTAATCCCGATCCCAAATCTACCACTTCTACCCAAGCTTCCACCCAGACCCCGTKCKCTCCAATCCAATCCCCACCTCTGCCAGATCCGACCTCTCCCCACATTCGTCTCAACCCCAACTCGTCTTCACCAGCAGTACCACCGCTTCGTACCCTCTTCCCCCCTGACCCCACCGCAACCAAGATTCATTCGCCCCACTTAGTGAACCCAATTCAGTTCGGCTCCAGACCCACTCYRCAATGGAGGGAATGGGAATAGAAACASAAAACTGGCTTGCAGAASAAACCAGGATGCCTCTYGTCAAAACAACCAGAAGCATAGACCACGGTGGAAACAACAAAGAGGAGGTAGTGGTCTACGAATGCCYGAAAGAATTGACAACAAASCAAGRACAACTTCATCAAAAGCAYGCAGTTCTGTTCACATTCTCCAAAAAAAGTCAGGAACTGGACAGACAAGCGAAATTGAAATGGATCTGCGAAAAACTGAAGAGTCTGGAACCAATTCAAGGACAGGAACCAAAAGTGTCCTTCCATCCAAGGTCAAGGAATGTCATAATGGTCCTATGTATGGAAGAGGCACTAGCATCCTTTCTGAAAAACAAATGCTTCACATGCAATTCATCTGTTGTCACCGTACATCCATGGAAACAGGCAACGAACTTCCAACAAACGCCATTCAGGTACARACAAGATTTACTGAAAAAGCACTTTTGGATTCAGTTCGACAGCGTGCCRGAGGGTATGCACRGATGCATAAAGGAGAGAGTGCGAATGGAATTCRGACACTACAAGGAAGCCCACTGGATAGTCTCAACGCCAGACTTCCTCACACCAYARCACAACCAGATGACGGTAGTCTTGGAAACAGGAGACARCARCTTACCTTTCATCCCTGATGAATGGTTCTTTTCGCAGGAGAATAAAGTGACCAGAATAACAGTATCCAGCAAAAGCAACCCCCTCTGTTTCAAGTGCAGACAAAGGGGTCATCTGGGCACGAACGCAAACTGCCCGAAGACCCTGGAGAGTGCGAAACCCAAAGCGCTCAAAACAGCCAATCTGCAGGAAGTCGCAGGCAAAAAAGGATATTGGTACATCTCGAAGACGCAGTATGCTGGGTGGGTATTCAACGACACCCTACACACACGAGATTGGGTTTGGATCATTGATGGCGAACCAACTCCCAGGCCGGATGTCTATCCCCCCTTCGACAGCAGATGGCGAACCCTCAAGACAAGGGAAAAAGCCCCCAAGGTCTTCTCAAAGGACCCGATGATAAACGTAGAATCACTGAAACATGAAATTTGGGAGAGAGATCTCCACGCAGACTTACAGGCGGTGCAAGAGAACACCGAAAGGGAGTGGGTTGAGGCAGTCAAAAGGTACCAGGAAGAGGAGGGATCGAAGGAAGGTCCCCAACARCAAA